AGATGGCCGGGAATTTAACTCAGTGGTTCTGCCACCTGCCTCACAAAGGCAAGGTCCAGGGTCAAGCCCTGGTACAAAAACAAAACAACAACAACAAAAAAAATGCAGTTTGTCAGGGCTGGGGATTTAGCTTAGTGCTTCCTCCTCCTCCCATCCCCAGCACCAAAAAAATAAAAAATAAAAATTAAAAAAAATAAAGAGAACAAGCCTATTTACAGTAACTACAAAAATACTTAGTAATAATTTTACTTTCTTTTTTTTTTTTTTTTTTTGTTACCGGCGATTGAACTCAGGTCCTTGCTTTTCCAAGACAGGCCACCGAACCACTGAGCTAAATCCCCGGGCCTCTCAGTAATAATTTTAACCAGAGACATGAAAGATTTGTACATTGAAAACTGTATGGCACTATTTAAAGAAATTATACAGGCCACAACTAAATGGAAAGATATTCTGTGTTCATGAATTGGAAGATTTAATATTGTAAAAATTTCCATATTTCCCCAGTCCATCAAAATTGCAATGGCATTTCTCATGGATATAGGAAAAAATAATCCTAGAACTCATGGAATCACATAAAACTCCAAATACCTAAGGCAATCCATGAGCAAATGAACAAAGCTAGAGGCTTCATGCTACCAGATTCCAAACTATACTATGACATAATACTAAATAAAACAGCGTGGTAAGACATAATAGTTAAAACAACATGATACTGGCATAAAAATAGACTCCTCAACCAATGAAACAAAATGGCCTGGAAAAGAACCCACATCTTTACATGAGTTGATTTTTTAATTTACACTGCTAAAAGATGGTCTGTTCACTGAACAAGCCCAGGAAACTGGATCTCCAAATAAAAAAGAATGAAATCGAACCCTCATGTCACATCACATCCAAAATCAAAATTCCAAATAGGCTAAAGACTTAAACATAAAACTCAAAACCATAAATCTATTAGAAAAAAAAAACAGAGGAAAAGCTACATTCATATTGGCAATTATGTTTTTATTTGACCTAAAAAATATAGCCACCCCCCCCAAAATGTAAATGCATGCCATTGCCTCCAAATTAAACCCTCTGCACATCAAGGAAGCAAAGGGAAGAGATAGCCAGTTGAGAAGAAAATATTTGCAAGTCATATATCTGACAAGGGATTACTATCCAAAATATATAAATAGCTGCAACTTAAAACCACGATGAGATATTACTTCATATTTATTGTATGAGTATTGATAGAAAGACAAAAGAAGTGCTGGTTAGAATGAGAACAGGGAATGCTTATAGTATTGTTGGTGGGAATGTAAGTTACAACAGCTGTGAAGAAAATCATGCTAGAGGTTGTCAAAACTAAAATTCAACTACTATCTTACCCAGAAACCCCTTTGTTGTTATTTACCCAAAAGACTTGAAATCAACATACTGAAGGAGTATCTGCATTCTTACATACCCTGCAACACTACTCATAATGACGAAAGGGTGGAACAAAATTAGGTGTCCATTAAAGGATAAATGAGGAAAATTTGGTTAGAAAATTTGTACAAAATTTGTGCAATTTGTACAAGAAAATTTGTACAAGATTGAACAGTATTTGGCCTTTTAATAAGAAAAATATTATTTGTAATAACGGGTGGATTTAGAGAACATTAAGCTAAGTAATATAAACGAAATACAAAATGACAAATGCTGTATTTTTCTCACTTGTAGTTGGAGTCTAAAACAATTTATCTCATAAAATCAGATAGAAGGATGGTGGTTACCAGAGGCTAGAAATTGGAAGGAATGGAGAAAGGGGATGACGTCAGAGAGGAGTTCTGTCTGATAGTGTTTTTGGAATCAATTGCACAGTATGGTGAATATAGCTAATAACTAAGCTCTGCCTACATCATTGCAGAAAGTATCTAATATTTTCATCACAAGAAAATATAAATATTTCAAGAGGTAGATAGCTAATTAGTTTGATTTAGTATTTTGCCATGGCCTGCACAACTCAAGGGTCCAGGGAGTGAGAATTGATGGTGGGAGATTAAGAAAAGACAGAGAGAAATATGGTGGGGTCAGTTGGGGCTCTAACTCCCGATGGGAGAAAAGACCCCAGGCAAATGCAGCAAGGTTTATTTATAGTGGTAGAGATAAGGGAAATGCAGGGGAAGGTAAAAGAAGTTGGTCTATAGCTGGAGCCAGGAAGGTAGCTAAGTAAGGTCTGCAGGACATCAAACTTGGTTTCGCGAAGAATGGGTGGGGAGGAAGACAGTGCTCTTCTGGCCAGACCTTGTTCCACGTCGCCTCCTTGTGGCCTGTTCTCCTCCTGCAGGGCCCTGCCTCCTCCAAGACAGCAGGTGAGTTAGCCCTGGTCATAGTGGTCTGCAGCACCGTAGTCCCAGCAGTATTTCCGCTGTTCTCAAAAATCATGCCATCACTTTGTATACTCTCAGTATGTAATAAAATTTTAAAAATTAAAAAATACTACCGAGAACCAATGCTATCTGAACTGTATCTTAGAATATGTGAAGGAATAGGCTAATCAAGTGAGAGATGAGAAGTTTCTGGCAGAGAGAACAGCATAAGAAAAGGTCCAGAGATGAGTTACAGTGTGGTTTGTGCAGAGCAAAGCCAGCTGTTAAGCTCAATGTTCAGATAAGCAAATGTATGAAATGAAAATAAGACAAATTTAAGAGCTATACCATTACCATCTTGCTTAAATGATAAAGCTTTGTGTACTCTCTTCAAATAAATTGATATCTGAAGAAAGTGAGCATTTTTCAGTCTCAGTTTACTTTCTTCCCTATCTCCATTAACCAAGAGATTATAATAATCCCTAAGTCAGACCAATATTCTCTGGTTGATGTTTAGGAGCTAGACTTGAGTTATGTTGTGATACTCACCTTTCCATCCCCTTGCCCCAAACCTCTGGATCTTAGAGGAATTGCCTTGTAAATCGCTTAATTGCTGTCTTCATGGCTACATATTTGACAACATAGTTGAGATTATATATGTGTGAAACATCTTCATCCCCAGGCAGCAGACTATCCCAGCAGCCTTTTCTGCTTTGCCTGGGATTCCATGAAAGCAGACGACATCTAGACTTAATCTCTTATGGCCCTTAGATCAAGGCCAGTCTCATGGTCACCAGTACTGATATGGTCACCTGGTGTCAATAGGAACTTATCACCCTAAAATGGATTCCTAGAGATCCTGATCTCAGGTGCCATCACCATGATTAAAGCCATTCAATTTTCCTTCTTGCTTTCTTTGTTCTAACTTTGTCTGTTTAATGTCCCTAGCATAATCTTTCTTGCCTCAGGGATTTTAATATGAGTTCTTCTTCTCCTCATGACTAATTTCCTCCTTCTGTGGCACTATGGCATTATCATATCACAGTGTTTGGTTCTCTTAGCCACTTGTAGTCTGCACTTACCTTCTGCCTCTTAAACTGAAATATTCACTTCCTTAGCCACTTCTAGTCTGCACTTACCTTCTGCCTCATAAACTGAAATATTCACTTCCGTAGTTCTCTGGCTAGTCTAGTGCCAGGCACAGAGCTGGTATATGATAAATATTAAATAAGTAAATGCTTACATGACTTTAAAAAGTAATGTCTCTTTTCAATGGCTTAGTGATTTTTCAAAGACAAAGCAGAATTAACAAGTCAGAAATATAAAGACATCAAATTTTAGTTGGTGTGTCTGAATTATTAATTTTAACCATTCAATATAAATATTTAATTTTTGAAGTAATACACCAGAATTCCGTTTTATTAACTCACTTACTAAAAGTTGCTAAACATTGCCTTGACATTTACAGTATATAACTATCAAGTTATAGTTGACTTTATCTTGACATTGAAGTTTTTCTAATTGAGTACCCTGATTAACTTCTCAAGATTAACTATTACATTATTAGTCTTCTCTTTTACTCAAAAGTGGAACTTGATCAAGTAATCATAAATTTTGTAAGTGAAATTTGTTGTAAGAATATATAAAAAAATTAAATATCCAGAAGAAAGTTAAATAATTGCATATGACTTTAATGAAACATTATTTAGCAATCTATAGTGCATAATATAAATACTATCCAGCTGTAGAGAAAGAGCTTGAAATATAATGTGAACTGAAAATAATAACAGAACACAATCATGGAAACATATAGCTATGGAGTTGCAGATGAAAAGACAATATGTAAGTAAAAAATAAGATGATATGTGAATTTTGAGAGGACTCAGTATGTCTTAAATGCAAATTTTGGAAGAATATGTGTATATTGGATATCAATTACTATAGTATACAGAGGTAAGAAAGGTTTATTGGAATATAAACTATTCAGATTAACAGAGCAAATTATTGTATGCCTTGTTTATTGCCACTGAAAATGAAAGCCTGTTTGTTATTGAAAATATTTTGCTTGTATTATGATTCTAGAAGAGGCCCCAGGTCAATTTATGTTATATTACGTAGGAACACATTTGTTTGATGGGCAATCCATATTAGAAACACAAAATTAGAGATAATAAAGTGAAAACACCCAAATTGCAGTTTTCTAACAGGTGAAATATTTTCAACTAACTTGTTTCTTTCAATTATTTTTTTTTTATGTGACTGTACTGTTTTTACAGCTGACACTCTAAGGACTGTGTTTTTCCCATGTGACATCATTTGTAAGCCTTTATTTCCTAATTCATGGTGATCATTTTAATTACTGCATAAAGAAGGCATTCTTAGAGGAAAAAATAATTACTCTTGAATTCTTAAAATACAGGAACAAAGGAGTAAGCATTCTTAGAGGAAAATGTAATTACTCTTGAATTCTTAAAATACAGGAACAAAGGAGTAATTTTTCCTGAACTCCCTTGGTCTGCAGATTGTGTACTTTATGACTTTGCACACGAGACTGTCATCACCTGATAACGTTTCCATTTGAGTAGTAACATGATAACACAAAGTGCAAGAGGAACTAGGCTTTAGATGACAACCACATCATTTAATATCTGCTTATTGTTTCTACAGGGGAATTCTGGCCTGGGGTTCAGTATTGCTGGGGGGACAGATAATCCCCACATTGGAGATGATCCTGGCATATTTATTACGAAGATTATACCAGGAGGTGCTGCAGCAGAGGATGGCAGACTCAGGTAAAGATCTGAAACATTGGAATTATTTGGCGAACTGATCTGCTGTGTCAATGAGATACATTTGTATCTTTCAAAAATAATAGTTATGCAAAACTTCTGAGCTTGAAGGAGAAGGTTGTCAAAGCAAGTATTCTCTATTGACTTTGCAGATTTCTTGCTATTTACTGAATTTCAACTAGTATTTAATTTGTGTTTGTTGACATCTCCAAAATGTGACATTGGAACAGGCGGAGGGGATATGAACATATCTCTTGTTCTTGTGGGACCTTCAGTCTTCTTTGGAAGAATAATTATATGAATTAAAGAACACATATAAAATATAGAAACAATACCCTTGTGTTAGTCAGCTGAGACAAAATATCTGACACCCAAAGTTAAAAGGGAAAAGGTTTGCTTGGCTGACAGTTTGTAGAGGTTTCAGCCCATAATTGGCTGGCTCCAAAGAAGAGTCAAACATAGCAGAAGGGCATCACAGAGAAGAAGCAGTTCATGGCACCCACACAATAGCAAAGGCAACAAGGGAAACTTAACACCCTTTTTCTGCCCCTCTTATCTTATCCAGATTACCAGGATTAGGGCAGTACCAAGCCAATCAGTGTACCGGTTTAGTAATCACACTCCTTTAATCCCAATATCACACACTCTGGATTCAGCCACCTCTGAAAAATTCACCTATGCCTGCACGAGGCTTTGTGGGGACACCTAGACCTAAACCATAACACTATAAGGAGTATTTTGAGACCTTGTTTCAAAAAACTAAAAAAAAAAAAAAAAAAAAAAAAAAATACATGGTCATGGTGAGTTTAAGTGGGTGGAGTAGAACCAGATACTGCTTGGTAACACAGTAACATCTGCTTGAGACATTCTCCTCTCTCTAAAAACACCTAGAGAAATTTGGGAAAATAAGAATCACCCCCATGAGCCAGTTAGTAAATAATATAAAATGCTATCAGAGATTTAAAACATTAGCTGAAAGGCTCAAAACCTTGGGGTTCAAAAATTATCAGATATCCCTTAGGGAGAGTGATATACACCTAATGCCATTTTAACACTCCTGCTGGATTTAAAATATCATTAGACCAAGGAGATACATCTATATGTGGAGACCTATGGCTCAATAAAGTTTTGCCCAGTGGATGAGTTTGAACGAATATAAATAAGAAGAGAAAGGAAAGGAGGATACATTTACAGGGGCATAGGTAAGATATGTTAAAGAAGCTACTCTCATGACACTCAATAAAGACTCTAAGCAAAAAACCTTCTTTAGGAAGGAGTACTACACAGGAGAGTGTGCAGTAGGGAAAGAGAGTGCATAACTCTTAAGTGTAAGAACAAGTAGGCACGGATAGCCAAGTGAAGGGGTCAGGGTCAGTGGGCAGAGAATGACTAGGAGAAAATATCAAGAATAAATGGGAAGGCCGGGGATTTAGCACAGTGTTTCTGCCACCTGCCTCACAAGAGCAAGGTCCCGAGTTCGATCCCCGATACCAAAAAAAAAAAAAAGAATAAATGGGATTGTAATTAAAAGGACTTGATAAGATTCTGACTGAAGACAAGCCATGGTGATGAGACACTGAGGGTGGAGTGTGAGGAAACTGATGAGATAACAATGGTAGTATGAGGGCTGTACCTAAACAGGCTCAGCAGGGTTCTTAAAACTGCTTAAAGAGCCTATTTAGTGCTCTAACTGCACTAACAGTGCTTAATGTTTGAGGCCCTAGTGGAGAACAGGGCTCAGAAGAATGGAAGTCCTTTTGGGCAAGAGGTGGCTGTGTCAGAGAACACGACCAAATCCCGTAAGTTACAATGACTTGAGCTTTCCTGGAGTTGCATTGAGGAGTGTGACCCAAGTGACAGAAATGTAGACTGCACAGCCCTGCTTTACTCTGTGTTTTCATAAAGCAAGAATAATCTAGTTTGGCGTTTTTCCTAGGAAGCACTCACACGCACTCGTTCTCGATCCACTTGTGATACAGTGATTATTGTTAGGAGCTGTAAATTTGCAGCTCACTGAGGTGAGTCACGTTGGGTTTTCCAGGTACATGTGTATCTCCTGTCAATAAGAAAAGACACCCATGCTATTTGGAAATGCAAGTTCCAAATAGTCAGAAAGGGGAGTATATTCGCTAATGCCGAACCATTTTTATAGAAATTCCACTTTTAAAGTTTAGAAATCAACTTGTTACAGTATAATTCAGAAATGGATGGAATGTGGTCATCATTTCAAGCCACTCTCTTTACCTGCATACAGAGGATTCTCCATCCCTTAACAAATGCTGGCTTAGGTTCAGGATAGAACAGATTTGACATTACATGCTTCTTCTACAATTAAAAAAAAAAATAACATCTCTGAGAATGTCACCAATCTTTTTTGGCAAACATGGATGGACAATCTTATGTATGTAAAGACAAAAGAAACTTCTGCTGTCCTGGATGTTTCATTTGACAGTTGTAAAGACAGTAATCATGAGAGTTAGCATTGATTAAGCTTGTATTATAGGGGGCGTTATGAATTTTCCACATAGTCACAATTTCCTATATTCTGACTTTATTCTGACTTCAGTTCTGTTTCCTGGATATGCAGACCACCTGCTAGGGTTGTACAATTAAAATTGCAAATTTCTGTACAATGGCCCTAACTGAAGCAATAACATACACTTACTTTCCATTCCACATTATAACTTTTTGGCTATATGAGAGCAGCTGTTGAATCTTTACTTTATTTTGATAGGTCCTTGATAGTACTGCTAAGACTCCCCCCTCATTACTGCTTTCTGCCATGTACTTGAATGGCTTAGGGACATCTAACCATTCAAGAATAACTTTTAGTTGAAAATTTGGCATCACAACATTAAGTACAAATTTTAAGAACTTGGTAGTTGATCTAGCCCAGAGCCAATGATACAGAGGAAATACTGAGTCTCAGAAGAATGATACCCTGAGGCATAATGCATTTGGAGATCTACATTAGCTAGAATCCAGGTATGTTGACTCAAATAGTGAACGTTTTAAATTAGCATATATACATAGTATACTAGTTAGAGTTCTCTAGGGGGAATGAAATCAAAACAAAATATATGCATAATTACGTAAGGAGATATATTAGGTAGGTTTTATAGGATCAGAGATAGAAGAATTAACAATGGCCAACTGCATGCTGGACAGCCAGAGGATCCAGCAGCTTCTCGGCCCAAGAGGATGAAAGCTCCAGGGCAAAAGGGATTGAGGATATAGCACCAGTCCAAAGACCAAAGGCCTGGAAATTCTCTGTAGAGTTACAACTATGAGTCTGTATTGAAGGGCCGAGGAAAATGTAGACCAGTGTCCAACGTGACCGGAAAGACTAGAACCCTTCAGAAGCAGGCATACTTCCTCTCTCCCCTTTCTTATTTCATCCAAGCTACAAGTATCTGGGGTGAGCCTCTCAGTTTGCTGGGCTCTGTTTCTGTCAACCACAGACACACCCAAAACTGCACTCCACTAATCTACTAGGTGTTCTTAATCCATTAAGTTGATGTGTTGTGATTTACAGCCTTATATGTAATGCTCAGGCCCCAGCTAAGCCAATCTAAGTTTTGTCTCAGTGTGAAAGGAATCGTATCTTCAGTGTGAGGATAGATTAGTAAAAGTCTGGGAAGTACTTCTTAATCTCACTATTAGTTCACGAAGGCATGGGAGCAAAACATAATAAAAAATTCTGGAAAGACATAGGTTCTAATGTCTATGTACTAATATAATTGTCCTTATATAAATTAAAAACTCTTAGTCACTACTTTCTTATCTGTAAAATGGTGATAAAATAATCAATGTTAATGAGTTATTCTGAGGATTCAGTGAGAACTTAATTCCTTAGCTATGTCAGACATACAGTAGATGCTCCATAAATTTTACCTTTCCTCCTTAACTGCCCCCCAATAACCTATCTTCCCTTTCTTCTGTTTTTCTTTCTTTTCTGTTCCCTTTCCCCTCGTCTCTTACACACTTTCTTTAGTCTCCTCTTACTTTCTACCTCTTTCCCTAAGCCTTGTGTTCTATCTGTTCACACCTATTTTTTCTGTCATATTCTGACATAGAATTAAGAACCATTTAAAAAATATAAATGGGTGTTCCTTTAAAATGCTAAATTTGTAGTGATTTTCTAGGCACCAACAGACCATGAATTTATACATAATTCTAAGAATCCTGGATCTGATCATGAAGAGCTTTCTTGTGCATGTTAAATTATACCCAAAATAAAGGGAGACTGTAGGATTATGACACAAAGTGAGAAGTGACTTTTTCCCTAAATAGACCAGACTCCAACATGAGCTCCTGTGTCAGTGGTTGTCACAGAAAAGATATATAAGGGGAAATAAGCATAACACTTGGAGTTAGTGGGTCTGGATTTCAAGTTCTACTTCATACTTATGTTACTTTGGGCTTCTTTTTAATTTGGCTGTTGTCTAGTTGCCTTATTGGTACACTGGAAATAAGAGTATATGTATCAGGGACCTATGAGAAAGATTATATGAAAGGGTGAGTGTAGAGGAGCTGTATGAAATGTGAGACCCCCAACAACTCAGTTGCCTGTAGAACTAGACAAGTAGCAGAATGCTGAACCTGAGCCACAAGTCTGGCATCCAGGAATGGTCATTAGGGTGTGCAAAATTAATAAAGTGACCCTCAGTAATCATATCCCTGTATAATCCCTTACTTTAACCAATAATGTTGGAGAAAGCCTGTCTTACAATATGCTATGAGAGATTTATGTACTTGGACGTATAATTTAGGACTATTTTCTAAGATAAACAATGGCATATGCTTTTTTTTTCCTTCTTTTGCATTTGCTTGGTTAACTTGATTTGACTTGATAGAACTTTTTTTAAATGTTACTAGTCATTAATATTTTGTTTTTTAAATGTATCCGTTAAAATTTGATAGCATTATTTATCTTTAAAAATAGAAACCTTTTTGGAAAGAATATTGTTTTCCTTTCAAGGAAAATAGATATATTTCCATGT